GCCACATCTATTTGTAGATCCATACAAAAATTAAAATCTCCAGCCACAATCAAATCTCCTTTTTTGAAATCCATTAATTTCCTCAGAATATTTTTTAAGAACACCTCAGGGTTCTTATTCGGGAAATAAATATTTGCTAATGTATATTCTATTTCCTGTAGTTTTCCTTTCAAGAACAGAAATCTCCCTTACGGATCTACCAATCTATCCTCCAACTTAAACCTTATTTTTCGCAAATCCTATTGCCACTCCCTTTGCACGTTTAATTGGGGAATCTGCATAATACCACTAAGGATAATATCTAGATTGTAACTTCACATTTGTTTCTTGTACTAAATGTGTCTCTTGTAGAAATACCACTGAAGAAGATCCATGCTGAAGTTCTTTAAATATCTTAAATCTCTTACCTGGACTATTTAAACCTTTGACATAATAAGTCACAAAGTGGATCTCTTCCGTTCTTCTCTTTTTCTCACCTCCTCTCATCCCTTTTCTCCCATCTCCTTTCTCTCCCTCTCTTCCCTATACATTCTCCTTTGTCCTCCAGGATTTCTCCAGATTAATATATCTCCCACTTTCCTGCATAATCTCAGGTTACCAACCCCCGCCCCCCATACCCTTCCCCCTTCCCCCCCCCCTGCTCCCATCCCCTCCCCTTTTAGGCTATTCTTTTGCCTCTGAATCATTTGTTGGCCTACTTCCACTTTTAAATTCACCATAGGGTGGAGCTCTGTTCATGGACAGCACTTCCCATTTGCCCTCCCCCAATGCCTGCCAGAAGAGGAAAAAGAAACCAGAAGGGGGGGGAGGGGGAAAAGAGGAGCTGGAGAAAGAATAAAAAAAAAAACAAACAGACCCCCACCACCACTTCTCCCCCCCCCCCCCCCCCAGGAATATCTATTTTCTGCAACTCAAGTCTCTCAGCTCTTTGGGAAACTTTACTCTTGCCGATCGTCCATTTTTTCCAGCCGATCAAACATGCTGGGGACCTCCAGCTATATCAGACGTTCTGCTTTTTCATTTGGTCTACTAATGGTTTTAATATTTTTCTTCTTGACAAAGTCTCTGCGGCAAGATCTGCAAATATCTGTAAATTTAGTTCCCCATACTTTATAATAATGCTTCCTTTCATCTTCTTCCAGATCTTCTCTTTATCCCTATAATATTGAAATTGAGCAATGATATCTCTTGGTCTTTCTTTTCCTCCTTCTTGGTATATTCTTCCAATTCTGTATGCTCCATCAATTTTATAGGGTTCTACTGCAGCTCTCTTCCATTATTGTATCTAACATTTTCTCTACCGTTTCCCTCAAATCTTCTCCTTGGGGAATCTCCGGTAAACCACGTATCCTTAGGTTGCATCTTCTATTCCTTTTTTCCTGATATTCCAATTTATAAAGCAGATTTCTTTGTTCCTTTTTCATTTCCACCATTTTATTTTCTAAGACCTGTATCTCTTGAGCCTGTTTATTTGTTTTTTCTTCCATCTCCTCCACTCTGGAAAGAACATATCCCAGATCTTTATGTAACTTTCCCATCTCATTTTTATAGATAATTCCAGGCCTTTAAACATTTCTGCTGTTTCTGTTTAAGTTGGTAAATGTAAATCTTGATCTTCCGATTTATCCATACCATTTATCTTTTCTATGTCTGCTTCTTCCAAATTTTGGCTAAAATTGGACATTCCCAGGGATTTTCTGGGGCTCCCACCACTACTGTTCTCTGTCACACTTTTTTAATAATTCCACTTTGCCTCTCTGGGGTCTGTTTGTCCTGCCTGGGAATATATTTCTTAATTGAACATGAAATAGGGGCTTTTGATCCACTTCCTTTTGTTGTTTTGTTCTTCATTTTGCTATATTTCGGATATCTAATGGAATCAATAATCTCCTCCTCCCTTTTATATTTTCACCTTCTTCTTTCCCCCTATCTCCCTTTTTGGCCCCCTGCAGGAACTAACATCCTTTATTTGTTTTAATTTGAAAATATGGGACCCTCTGTAGTCTCCGTAGTGCCCCCTATATGCAACCCCCACTCCTTTAACAGTCCATGTTTTACTTCATTTATCATTTTGACATATATTACATTTCATTTCTTCTGCCACTATCACTCACCATTAGACTTTCACTTTTCCAGTGTCGATCTTCTCGGGGGGGGGGGGGGGGGGGGGTGCAAAAGAGAGCCCCTCTAGTTCAAGGGTGTCTCTGGTGAGGGGTTCCCAATCATATATCAAACTTTTGCCCCTTTATCCCCTCTCCAACTCCAGTCCACTGCAGGCTCGATTTGTACTCCTTCACAAAGAGAGGCGGGGGGGGGGGGAGGGAGACAGGGAGAGCTGGGGAGACCAGAAGAGAGGGGAGAGATCAAGTTCACATATACGCCCCTATGCCGGCCGGCATCCCCCTCCTCTCAGGACTTCCCTTCAGCCGGTCACGTGTCTACCCGGCATCCTCCGTGCCTCCGTTCCTAGGGCTTTCCGCCCTCCAGCTCTCCTCACAGCACACCGAGGACTCCTGGCTGACAACCCCGCTACAGGGTCTCGTCCGCGGGATTCCACAGCCGTCCAGCCCACTCCTCCTCCCTGATTAATGTAGGTCATTCGACCTGTTGGCAAGTCGTTGGGGGAGCCTGGGTGCGGGAGATCTCACCACAATTTCCCGCTCAACTCCATAGTCAGGTTCCTCCGTTTGTAGTGCCTCTTGATGCGGTGCATGTCATGCTAAAACTTAGCCTGTTGCTTCTACCAATTCTATCCCCAGTCTTGTACCTTTAGAGCCCTAAAACCACAAGGACTTTCCTGGTGACTATTCAAAGAGATTGGAAACACCCTGACAAACTGTTTGCCCCCAAAGCGCTTATTAACCGTGTATTGAAAAACACTTTATTAAAAGTGGTCTTTCCCCACTGTGGATCCAGCAGTTTCCTGCCTGGAAAAAAAAAAAAAAAAGCAACCACCTTTTAAATTTGGTGGCTCAAAAATCTGGCTCTGGAATCAGGGTAATTCTTCTTTCTCATCTTTGGAAGATCCTTGCGTCATATGCCAGCCTGTCAAGCAGGGGAGAAGTTCTAGGAATCCTGTCTGTGCATTCTTAACATTCTGGAGCTTTAGTGATTTAGGTGTCTCTGCAGCATTGGACCTTCCTCCATGAGGGTTTACTTGATCTGGATTCAGTCACACATCACCACAGCAAAGGCATTTATATGCCTTCTTCTTGTGGCAAGTGGAGTAGATCTGATCATGTCCTGGTTAGAACTTAATCTTCCAGTGTTTTCCATCATTTTTTTCTCATGATCAGACACTTGGCAGGTACATTTCCCAAGCCAGCAGTTGTTTAGTGACAGGGGAGCGGTCCCTGCACCGTTAGGTGTTCTAGGACCTGTGTCAAAGGTGGGGGATGCTAGATGTGAACCTCCTAGCCTCAAGGTTCAACAACATACTGGACAGGTTTGTCTCCAGATACAGAGTTTCCTTAGTGGAAGCAGGCGCCTCTGGATTCCAATCTTACAATTCTAAGGCAATCTCCCCTTCCCCAAAAATAATCTTTTAGGCCCTCTGACAGGGAAGTGGATCTTGTGTCAAGCTCCACCAAAAGCTTTTTACTTAGAGTACATCACATACACTATATTGCCAAAAGTATTGGGACACCCCTCCATATCATTGGATTCAGGTGTTTCAATCACCTCCATGGCCACAGGTATATAAAATCAAGCACCTAGGCATGCAGACTGCTTCTACAAACATTTGCGAAAGAATGGGTCGCTCTCAGGAGTGTGGTACCGTGATAGGTTGCCACCTGTGCAATAAGTCCCTCCCTGAAATTTCCTTGCTACTAAATATTACACTGTCATCTGTTACTGGTATTATACCACAGTGGAAGCAACTGGGAACATCAGCAACTCGCAGTGGTAGGCCAAGTTTTCGTGGGTTGGGCTTGGCCTCTTAGTTCCAGTGAAAGAGCTCTTAAGGCGTCAGCATACCAAGACATTTTGGACAATTTCATGCTCCCAAATTTGTGGGAAACAGTTTGGAGATAGCTCCTTCCTGTTCCAACATGACTGCGCACCAGCGCACAAAGCAAGGTCCATAAAGACAGAACTTGACTGGCCTGACCTCAACCCAATATAACACCTTTGGGATGAATTAGAGCGGAGACTGCAAGCCAGGCCTTCTCGTCCGACATCAGTGCCTGACTTCACATATGCGCTTCTGGAAGAATAGTCAAACATTCCCATGGACACACTCCTAAACCTTGTGGACAACCTTCCCAGATGAGTTAAAGCTGTTATAGCTGCAAAGGGTGGGCCAACTCAATATTGAACCCTACGGACAAAGACTGGGATGCCATTAAAGTTAATACTTTTGGCAATATAGTGTACTTTATACATCAGTCTCTCAGCACAATGTGGTTATCTCTGCAAGCCAAGGCACTGTTAAGACAGCACCTTGTATAAAGGATATCATCAGCTTAATTAGGCCAACACTAGCTTTAGAAAGAAAACTCTCTTCCTTGCTTCTTAAGTCCAGGAGTACAAAATCCTAGTTTTATCCAGTAATGCACATACTACCTTTCCCTGGAACTTTACATCTCAGAAAAATTTAAACACCTTCCTCATGCATCACCGTGCATCTCTCACAACACCCAAAGACTACAGTTTGATGAAAAGAACTATTTTCTACATAAGGAAAGGATATTTAAAGAACAATAACCCAGCTGAAAATAAGCTAATGTGCTATATTGGTACAAACTAGCCAACTCTTTTTTTTTTTTTTCCCTTTGTTGTTATGACCTCACCTGCCGTTGCATAGCAAACTGACCACACTAGGTCCAAGAGGTATGGAAACCTCCCATGCTATTAAAACATGTTTAATGCTTAGTGCTTTGCAACCGTTTTTTTTTGTTTTTTTTCTGTACCAATGGTGTATGTTAAATTACTTTGTTTTGAGCAACTTGGAAATCCTTTTTACATGTAAGCTTACTTGTATTTCCTTTCAAATGCAGCGTATGGACCTAGATCGCCGCAGGGAAGATGCCCGAAACCCAAACCGCAAGCCACGCTTGATGGAAGAAGATGACCTTCCCTCCTGGATCATCAAAGATGATGCTGAAGTTGAACGTCTGACTTGTGAAGAAGAGGAGGAGAAAATATTTGGAAGAGGGTCACGCCAACGGAGAGATGTAGACTATAGTGACGCTCTTACAGACAAACAGTGGCTCAGAGTAAGTTAGAGTGTCTTTTCTTTTTTTATGCATGCTTATTTCTAGTGTATCGAGTGTGTTGGTGGATGACCCTGTATATTAGCCTGGTACTCCACTAAAAATCATTAGATTGTGAATACCTTCTGGCGAAATCTAGACTCCACTTACTAACAGGTGAGAATTTGGAGGATGTTCCATATTTATAGAAACAATAGATAAGATGAAATCAGAAGCTGCTGTAAATGTACATAGGGAATACGTTTCCGCAGCTGTGATGCCTTGAGCCTGGTTAGCAGGTTTGCAGATGTTAAGCTGAAATGCAGTTACAGACCACATTATGATTTAATTGTCTGAAAGCAGTTCTGTTTGCATGGCTCTAAACTTTATCCTTATTTTCAAAAAAATCATCCATACGCATCCGCTACTTGAGGGCCCTGTAATCTATTTTTCATGAAATTGTTTTTTACTGTGTTTTTCTGCCTCCCTGAAACATTGTCTGTGAGCTCCTGATCCTCTCCTTTTCTATCTCAGTTCCAATTGTTAGGCGTGAACAATGTACATTAGTTACGGTCTTCAGCATTGCATTATCATTATACAACCCCTATAGTCCATCTCAGGAGTGAGCAGGAGGGGATGGCTATGTTGTTGTAATAACCACATATATAATATATTGACCTAGGTACAGAAGCTGTTCGATAATTTAATACCTCTCCCACACACACCAATAAACTGGCAGCTTTAAATTCCTCATTCTCCAACCCTGATTACTCCTAAAGTGAAGAGACACACCAGAAGGACAGCAGTGCACAATGGCAGCTAAAAGAATCTGATTTGTCCCCCGTAACATATCCAGCAAGCAAAACAAATATGGAGACCACCCCAGTTTATAACTAGCCTTTAGAGCAAAGTGCACATGGAAGGGCTATGCACACAGTAAAAAACAAAGCAAAATATATTTTCCAGCATGCTTACCAACTGGCCCTCAAAAAATAAATTACACTGCCTTAAAATATTTTTGGTTGCACAAAGTTTTTAAATATATGTGAAAGCCACACTGCCTTGTCAAGACCCCCTGTGCAACTTGTGTCATTTTGTTTTGGTTTGTTTGTTTTTTGTTTTTTTCTGGCTAGCTGGTAAGTGTGCTGGGAAGTACATTTTGTTTGGTTTTGCTGTGTGCATAGCCCTTCCAATGTGCACCTTGCTCTAAAGGCTAGTTATAAATTTGAGCAGTCACCATTTTTGTTTTCTTGTGCCTGAGCTATTGTATGTTTCTAAAAATTTGACCTTTACACCTTAGCGCTGTTAAAGCTGATATCCAGCTTTTCCTCCTCAAAACAACAAACGCATTGTGTATGTGAATGAATCACAGCCACACTGTCAGTTTATGTGCAACGTCCCTCCTTTGGCTTTATACAGTAGGTTTCTGTCTCTATGATGTCACACCTCCTCCTGGCTGAATCTCAGAGTTCTCTGACCTTCTGCTTCCTTCTCTGGCCAGTTCTGATACTTCATCTTCCATGATCCTTTGAGCCTTTGTAGTTTCAGGGCGGACTATGGGAGTCACTTGTACCAGTTTTGGGAGTTGATGTGGGTGGATCTTCAGGTTACTGAGGGCATTTCTGGGCATTCATATGGGTGCTGAAAGGGGAGGAATGAAACTGTGTTATCACCGCACACAGTTCATTCCTCTCCTCTCCACGGTGAATAAGGAGCAAGCATGAAATGTAACCTTATAAACCATCTCCTGGACAAGAAATGTGCAATTACAGACGTAAAGGGCACACAAATTAAGATCACATGATCATGGTTTTTTTCTCCTCCGATTCCATCCTTTTTAAGGCTGGGTTCACACTTCAGCGGCTCTGCAAAATGTGGTTTATCATTTGAATGGACTGCCGTGTCTCGTGAAACTCAGGGGAAAAGGTCCCTGCACTATTTTTGGAATTGCAGCCCAAACGGGAACCTCAAGTACAGTGTGGTTCCCATTGCAGATGTGATTTCTAATGCGAATGTCATGCCATTAGGATTAATGGCACCCGCCCGCATCTCCTGTCTTTCACTGTGCAGGTGGTTGCGACTGTGGGAACATATGTGGGTCCTGCCGCGGCAACCAGCCGTACAGGTGTAAACCTAGCCTAACAGAGAAACATCTTTTTTTTTTTTTTTTTTTTCAGTGTTTTTTTTTTTTTTTTTTTTTTTTTTGCAGGCATGATTTGTAATGTGTGACTCTATATAGTGTAAGTTATCCTCACAGATCATGTGAGCATTTTTTGTCATGCTTGCTTTACTACTTAGGCTGCGTTTGCAACTGCGCTTTTCCAAATTCATGGCAACCCACACAGATAATCCGCACTTTGCCATGTGTTTAAAAAATGTGTGGCAACGCGTGTTGTGCTCACGTTACCATTCATTAGCGTCTGTGCATTTCTGAACATACAGCAACCTAGAAGAGAAACACGCTTTGCCGTGTGTTTTGAAAATGTGCAGCAATGTGCGTCACACCTGCTTTACTATTTGTTCACATCTGTGCTTTTACGAAAACATGGCAACCCTCAAGAAAATGCACACTTTCACACATTTTTGATATCGCGCAACATTTTGCATCATGTTTGCGTTACCACTTGGGCTGCGTTCACATCTGCACATTTCCAAACACATGGCAACCCCCACAGAACATGCACTCTTTGCCATGCATTTCAGAAATGCATAGCAACACGTGTTGTGCTTGCGTAACCATTCATTAGCATCTGCGCATTTCCAAACACACAGCAACGTACAAGAAATCGTGTGCTTTGCTGTGTGATTCAAAAAACTCATGACATTGTGCATCACACTTGCGGTACCATTTAGGCTGCGTTTGCATCTGTGTGTTTCCAAGTATCCAGCAACATGCATGGAAAACACGCTCTTGAAAATGAACAGCAATGCACATCACTCTTGCATTACCATTTGGTCACATATGCGTGTTTCTGAATGCATGTCAGCCAACAAAACACATGCTTTGCCATGCATTTTGAAAAGATGCAATGTGCATCACGCTTGGGTCACCATTTAGGCTACGTTTGCGCCTGGGCTTTTCTGAACGCCCGACAACCCACACAGAAAATACGTGCTTTACTGTGAGTGTCGAAAATGTGTGGCAATGCACACTGTTCTTGCATTACCATTTTTTGCATCTGCATGTTTCCAAATGCACATCAACCTGCAAGAAAACATGCGCTTTGCTGTGCTTTTCAAAAATGTGGCAACACCCATTGTGCAATTATCATTCATTCACATCTGCGTGTTTTCTAATGTATGTCAAGGCGCAAGAAAATGCATGCTTTGCCATGCATTTTGAAAACCCGCGGCAATGTGCGTCACACTTGCATTACCATTTAGGCTGTGTTTGCATATGTGCATTTACAAACACGTGGCAACCCTCCACCAAAAACGCATGCTTTCCCTAAACACACATCGCACGTGCCTTGCCAATATGGCGACACAAGCATGATGCGCATATGCAGTGCATTTTTTAAATGTGCAGCAAAGCACGCATTTTCTGTGCGGGTTGCCGTATATTTGGAAACGTGCAGATGTAAATGAAGCCTAATTGTTAACGGTACCCCAATCATGGTTAGCAGACACCGTGTTTTGCTGTGTGCCAAAATGCCCTACAAATGTGCACTGAGAAAACACGACACTCAACGGCTGAAAACATTCTAGAACTACTTGGGGCATTTGTCACATGTAGGGCAGCCCATTCACCTGGGGCGACATGTTTACGCTTGAAGAACATGCAAAGAAATCAAGCATGAACACACATTTCAGCTACAGTTCAGGTGTCAATAGAATATGCCTGGGAGGAAGTTTGTAGGCAGCAAGGATGACCAGGGAGGAGAGGTGAGTTTAAATATTTTTTTGCCTTCCTTTGGATAAACTGTGGGTGTAGGATTATAACTTTTTTTTTTTTTTAATGGTTGAACTGGATGGACTTTTGTCTTTTTTTCAGCCAGACTAACTATGTAAATAAATAAAAAAAATAAACACTGATCCATCAGTTACATAGGAATTCTTCTTACCAGTGAAGTCACACCTGGCTGAGGAGAAGTGTACAGCAAAGCCCTGCTGGAAGTTTTGACTTTCATGTTGCACTAGTGTGAACCAGGGCTAATTGTGATCTATTCAATCCTGCCAAGAATCCGCACACCTGTCTTTCACAGCAGGCTGTGTATAATATATGAAGGGGTTTCCTTTTGGATAATGCTGCGATCTGTAAGGCGGGACTTAGGAGGTTTGGACTCTTTCTGTAGGTGTGACTGGGCAGAATTGAATGCTAATTTGGATGTATTTAATCCCACCCACTTTCAGAGCTGTGAGGGAAATTACGTCATTTACAGGATCTAAAAGACTACAAACGGGAGTGTGCAGACTCTGGGCACTTCATAAAATGGCTGTGAAAGGAACAGAGTCTGTCCGCAGGATATGCAGAGTGTCACATGACACAAAGCAACAACTAAACCCAGAATATCTAGGAATCTGCAGACAACAGGGCAACATGGTACAGAGGTATGATTTATGCTGGTATGGATCTTTACATTCAGTTCTAGTAAAAAGAAAGTTGGAATTCAGCTTTAAAGTTTGGGCCTGCAATGATTTTTCTTGCTTAACAGCTTGGTATGCATGGCTATGTGTTTACAAATATGAAGCCCTGTGGTGTATATATATAAAAAAAAAATGCTAATGACTGTTTTTGCTTCTATTACATACTTTTATGCCATAACAATTGTTTTGTTATAGAAATCATCTAAAATATAAGACACATAACGTTAACAAGGGGTAACATCTAAAAACCCTACTTTCCCCATACGTGGATAATTACAGCATTGGAAAGTTCCGTGGAGGCAGTTTGCTCTGTTAATGCACAGCAAATCTTACTACAGTAGTGTAAGACCACTTGAAATCTGACTTGTCTTCCCAGTGCTACACATGCATGGAGTAGTCTTGTAGATCCTAGAGCCATCACTGGGTGGTGATGCAGTTTT